ATGCTCTCTAGAAATCCTATGTTGTCAACATTTAAGATTGCAAGTTAATTTATTATCATTAGAAGAAATAAAAGAATATCAAAATTTAGATAATGTTTGTAATACTAAGTATAGGAAAATGAATGATGTCTTAACTATTAAAAAACAGGGATTGTACAAAATTGTGATACCCAATGTCCTCTACGTACTAAATTACTTGAAGAAAGGCCCATATACAATTTGGTCATATTGGTGTATCATCTAATGCTAAATTTGTTATCTCCACAATATTTATTGGCCAGGAATTGTTCAAGATGTTAGAAATTATTGTAAGCATTTGAAGTATGTCAGTTTAATAAGAAAAGTAAACAAAAGAAATTTTGGTTTAATGCAAAATTTACCATCAGTTAGTGAACCTTTTGAAATATTATCTATTGATACTTGTAGGTGGTTTAAATTATTATAATTCTCTACTAAAAAGTATATTCACATTAATTATTGATCATGCAACTAGATATATCTTGGACTTTTGCTTCCAAAAGTGTAACTACAGGTACTTATATAAATTGCTTAAAAACAAATTTTCCAAATTCAGGTCCCTAAAAAGATTTTAAGTGACAGGAACGCTGCTTTTACATCTTCAAAATTTAAGCACTTTTTAAGGAATCATAATGTAACAACAATTGCTAACTACTGCAAATAGACCCCAAACTAATGGTAAAATTGAACGTGTTAATCAAACTATTATAACTAGATTAAAATGCAAACTAAATTCTTATCACGGTAATATAGCATGGACAAAATTATTACCCCAAGTAACTGAAGAGTATAACAATACCCTCATTCTGTAACAAAATTCCCTCCATCATATTTAATGTATGGAAAATTACCTTATGATTCCTTAATTCAAAATCAAGAATTGTATCCGTCAATAGAAGAAGCCAGAAAAATAGCTCAAAAGAGATCTGATGATTATCATAATGTAAATAAAGAAAGATATGATATTCATTTTAAACCTAGTAATTTTAAAATTGGTGATTTAGTAATGTATGAAGAATTTCAATACCCTAATACACTAAATTATCTCCTCCATTCTCAGGACCTTTAGGACCTAAAAATTTTAAAACAATATTCTGAAGTTACTTATGAAAAAGATAAACCTAATCCTTTAACTAAAAAGAAATCAGAAATTGTTCATTCAACTAGATTAAGACCTTTTAATCCAGCAAGTGAGTTTAAGTTAAGTTAACTGTCCGAAATAGTAGAATTCCTATCTCTGTTCAAAATTAAAATTAATTTTTTTTTTAAAAATTCTCTTTTAAACATTTTCCTGATTATGACCTTTAATACCTGATTTAGACTTAAACCCTAACTATGACAAGTTATTTTCCCGACTATGACAAATTATTCTCCCGATCTTGACCTTTTATATCTTTCACATAATTTGAATTATTTTGTAGCAAAAATTTTCTTCTTATTGTAGGATAATATTTGTTTCTAATTTACAACATTATTAAAAAGACTTTAACTTGATTATACAAGTTATCCGTCTTATAATTTTGATTTTATATGATCTTTTATTTTTCTAACACCACTTTGAGGTAATGTACAATGCCAAAAACCAGTTCCCTTCTATTAGGCAACGGAGGTTTTTCGATATTTGTACCTAGCACCCCCCAACCATCAGCAACTAATCACGCTGATCTGTTGGCGAGGACATGCCATAGTTTTAAAGTCAAAGTGTTCATTTTCTAGTGTATAATTGTATTATTTATATTGAATTATTTTTTTGAATAAGTATAATATTTTGTATTGAAGTGTAAAACATGTCAATCTTTACGATGAGAGGAAAAAATGCATCATATTTGCGAACAATCAACATGCATCATATTTGTGGACTATCTGGCATTTAGAGATTTTACCAGATATTTTCATTCTATTCGAACTCTTTTTATGAAAAGGACTTTCAAAAAACAAAATGGACATTTTTAACAAAATTGAGGACTTTTCTAATTATCACTTATTTATTTATCAGTATTCCATATTTATTATGTTATAGTCTTAAAATTAGTCATATATTGTATATTTATTTATAACTCATTGTTTTAATGTTCAAAATTTCATATGCTATAAAGTCAAAATTTTATATGAGAAAGTCATGAACTATGATAGGCCATAGTTAAAGCTTGTACGCTATGTTCTGGATAATGGCAATCCAGAATCCTGGAGGAAGTAATCTGATTACGTCGTAAGCTAATGTGTTGACTTCGTAAATAAAACTTGGCAGTAGAAGCGATTTTAATTCCATTTTTATTTCCAATTGATATTTGTGGCCACAATCACTTGGCACTATAGTCGTGCCTTTCCACAGAGGATTTACATTTTTGATATTGTTGAGATAGAAAGCAAGCCAGCGAAATTACATCTTAGCAAAGTAAAGAGCAAAAGCTGAAGTGCGTAGTTATGAAAGATGGAAGCACGCGAAGAGAAAAGTTTTGGTTTACAACGACAGTTTCAGTTCTTAATTATTACGTCATCGGAGTTGCGCGGGCCATAGAATGATCTAGAAATGACGCAATGCAGAGAAGTTATTACGATTTAAAATATAGAGGAAGAATTCATGTTTATAGTTATATTATAATTCTGATTCATATATTTTTATCTTACATATATATCTAGAGAGAAAGAGAGACAGGGATTGATAATAGAAATATTTATACACTGAAGTGACAAAAGTCATGGGATACCTCCTAATATTTTGTCGGTCCTCCTTTTGCCCGGCGAAGTGCAGCAACTCGACGTGGCATGGACTCAACAAGTCGTTGGAAGTCCCCTGCAGGAATATTGAGCCATGCTACCTCTACAGACGTCCATAATTGTGAAAGTGTTGACGGTGCAGGGTTTTGGGCACGAACTGACCTCTCGATGATGTCCCATAAATGTTCGATGGGATTCATGTCGGGCGATCTAGGTGGCCAGATCATTCGCTGGAATTGTCCAGAATGTTCTTCTAACTAATCGCGAACAATTGTGGCCCGGTGACATGGCGCATTGTCATCCATAAAAATCCCATCGTTGTTTGAGTACGTGAAGTCCATGAATGGCTGTAAGTGATCTCCAAGTAGCTGAAGGTATCCATTTCCAGTCAATGATCGGTTCAGTTGCACCAGAGGACCGAGTCCATGCCATGTAAAAACAGCCCAGACCATTATGGAACTACCACCAGCTTGAACAGTGCCTTGTTCACAACTTGGGTCCATGGCTTCGTGGGGTCTGCGCCACACTCGAACCCTACCATCAGCTCTTATCAACTGAAATCGTGACTCATCTGACCAAGCCACGGTTTTCCATTCGTTTAGGGACCAACTGATATTCTCACGAGCCCACGAGAGTCGCTGCAGACGATGTCGTGCTGTCAGTAAAGGCACTCGAGTCGGTCTTCTGCTGGCATAGCCCAAGGAAGACAAATTTCGCCTCAGTGTCCTATCGGACACGTCCCTCGTACGTCCCATATTGATTTTAGCGGTTATTTGACGCAGTGTTGCTTGTCTGTGAACATTGACAACTCTACGCAGACGTCACTGGTCTCGGTCGTTAAGTGCAGGTGGTCGGCCACTGCGCTGTCCATGGTGGGATTTAATGCCTGAAATTAGATACTCTCGGCACACTCTTGACACTGTGGATCTCGGAATGTTGAATTCCCTAACGATATCCGAAATGGAATGACCCGTGCGTCTAGCTCCAACTACCATTCCGCGTTCAAAGTCTGTTAATTCTCGTCGTGCGGCCATAATCATGTCAAAGCCTCTTCACATGAATAACTTGAACACAAATGAAAGCCCTGCCAAAGCACTTTGCATTTATACATTTTCTACGCGATACTACTGCCATTTGTATATTTGCATACTGCTATGCCATAACTTTTGTCACTTCAGTGTATATAGAGAGAGGGAGAGAGAAAGAGACATATGAAATACTTACTTGCCGATATGCTTATTGAAAATCATGTTTTTCATATAATCGAAATATTAATTGATATGTTTGTTCTCTTAATGTGTAACGTAAAAAGATTCGAAACAATTTTTTTTTATAAAATAAGGAAGGATAACCCTGAAGCTTTTCTGTAATCTAGAAAATACATCATAAAAATTATCTTTACTTTACACATAAAAACTAAATAAGAACTGTAAAAATTCTCAGCCAGGTATGGATATGGTACTGTAAAAGGTCAGTGGGAAAAGTACATTAAAAAGCTGTAACATAAAAAATATAACTGTAAAATTTATAATTTTTGATATTTAAAGTTAATTTGATGGCAAGTTTTATACTCATTATAAGAAAATAAAATTATAAGAAGTTGGACTACTGTATCACAAAAATTGGGCGGGATATTTTATTTCAAAATTTGCAATTTTATAATGTCATTTTCAAATTGCCTCGACGGACTAGTTATTCAAGTTAGAATAATTTGAGGAAATGAGTTTAAACGAAATGCAGCATAAAATGTGTTTAATTTAATAGGTCGTACAAGGAAGTTATGTGGTGTCCACATCGTATTTTTTTTTTTTTACATACTGAAACGTAAAACATATTAATTTCAGTGTCATCAGATATTTAACTGAAATAAGTTTCACCAAGTAAAATACGTATTTCGGTAATAAAGACAATAGATATATGGAAATTTAGTTAGACTTCAGAATTTTTCGTATCTGAAATATTTCACAGTTCACCAAAAGGTTAACTTGAAATTGCTTTTCTAAAGTCTGAAACTTACATAACAAGCAATTTATAGGCATTACGCCATTTTTTATTATCAAAAAATATTAAAATCATTTTGTAATGGTTCAAGGGCGTTGACTTTAAATTCTATAACGGTGATCTAATCTACAATTCGAATATCATATTTTTAGACGTTGCCGAAAGATTATTTCTAGATGTAGAACCGAATAAAATCATTTCCAGGTTCTTTGTCTGATAAACTGATTGTTATAATATCTAAAAGGACGACTTTTGTGTGTACACGTCCTATTGCCCAATCCGAACTGTGGAGATAATATTCCTGGCAAGGAAAATTATGGTTGTTTAACTGCGTAGAGAACAGACGGTATGTTTTTCTATATCACACTTTTTTTTCCTGCAGGAAATGGGACAGAATAAAACGCAGAAACGTGGTTTAAAGTCCGACTGATTTATAGACTCAGGTTCAATATTCAGTATTGATAAATTTCACTTTTAAAAATATGTATGGCGAAATGCGCCATCCATTTACGTATAGTGAAATTTCTAGATATTTCAACATTTTGTTATCCGCATTATCGAGAATTTCAGGTTGAGGCAATGCTAAATATTGTTAAGTTATATGTAATTAACATTAACTTTTTTTTTTACTACTACATATCTTCTGTTACAAGAGAAGTTTTCCTAAGTAGGCCGAAAGGGCAATTCGCCCAAAAGGGCTATTCATTTCGTTTTGGCATTGCGTCGTCCACTATAGAACGGCGTTTCACTTTTCAAATTGTTGCTTCCAAATATTAGAGCCCTGCATTATATTTAAAGAAATTAAATATTGAAGAATCTGCATGAATGTATATATGTTTCTCGCACTGTGATAAAATAATGGTACCTAGAGGCACCAAATTTTGAATAACGTAGTGCTCCACTCGAATATGTGGGCATCTGAAAACTTAAATTTGGAATTTATAATTTGTTTTATTATCTATTTCATATTTCGTAGAAATTTAAGAAATTTTTGAGTAACAAACTCAACGATTTCAAAGCAAGCAATGGGAATACTGTATGAAAAAAAAAAAAAAAAAAAAAAAAAAAAAAAAATTTATCTCCATTGCGCGAGACTGTGTATCGGAAATTCTAAAGATACGTTCTTTTTAAATAGTTTGTGATATTGATGTTGAATCGAATTTTATGTTATAAGTGCGAACATGATTTTTAATAAATAAAAGTAACACACAAAACGTTAAAATAACGCCCCTTTGGTCGTAATATAAAATCTGAAAGCTTTCAGATTTTTTAAAAATTCCCATTGAGTTAAATTAGTTTGAAATTCGTAGTTTATTTAACTTCATCACTTAATACATTTTAGGCTACTATAAGGTGAATGTATTTTTTCATTTCCAAACTTTTTTCCTTTGTGTTACAGACTTTAAGAACTAACGCCTCCACCTTTTTGATTTTTTAGATCAAATTTTCATTTATTTCATTTTCCCCCCATATATTGGATTACTTCTGTTTTACATGCTTTTTACTCGCTCCAATAAAACTGCAAATTTTTATTTTTTAAGCTTTATTGTTTGCTTCTGATTTATTCTATTTTTTTAACCCGGCCAGTATGTTTTCAAAATTTGTATATAATTTTGCATTTTTCAAATATTGGATTATAATTTTTACATATGGTTTTGTTTTCAAATATTAGATTAATGTTTTACGATTTTTTGGGGGGGGGGAAGGGAGACTCGATCTGCTGGAAATAATTGCATAAATTTTTATCTACTTCTCCGCAGTCGTTTTGAATTTTCGTTTCTGATGTGCTGTACTTTTGTAATGTTTTGCAGTGCCTCTTTCGATTTGTAGTTTTCGGACTGATTAAATACACAGATTACTTTTATTGTTTTTTAAAGATTATTTTTAAATTTTTAACTTTAATTTGCGTCTTTTCCGGTTTACAAAACGTCTTAACTGCTTTATCTATTTACTTCTTTCTTTGAACCGACCCCCTGATGACGATGCGGCGAAATTTACGTCTACGTAAAATTTATATCTTTATTTGTAAATTTCATATTTCCTGTTGGTTTTGGCATATTTTGTCCCCTAATTTCTTGCAGCCTGCCACTGTACTTCTGGGTTTTGTTTGTGCATGTGATTTATTCAGAATTGAGCAAGAGATGAATTTTAAATGTATTTTTTATTCTGTTTTGCATCATTACCAACACCTGTAGCTGCTATCAACTCTCAAATGAGTTAGGTTTTGAACCGTTTTTTACTTTGTATTTAGTCAACGTTATTGATATAGTTAGTGACGAAAGTGGAACAATACCTCTTAACCATTGGTAAAGACCGGGTTTCCCCATTCATCAGCAACCGAGCTGAACTTAAGTAAATATAAAACGAAAGACGTGTTTTTAATGCCTCATTTATCAGTATTTTAACATAAACAAAAAGTTCATTAACTACGGTATGCAATGCATGTTTCACATTCAGTGGGACAAAAAGAAAGCATGCATTCAAGCATCATTTTCTTAGCACTTAAAGCCATACACAGTTCATCAACAGAACCACAAAAATTTTAAAAGCATCATAGCAGCATATGGTTAGAATTCCCGATGCAGTGTAAAGTTTTGGTATGCCATTTGTGTATTTATTTCAGTCTTTACTCAGTTCCTCATATCAATGTGCAGTTTTCTTACTAAGATGGCTTTACAAAATTTTTTTGTCTGTTTATTATTAACGTTTTGTGTGTTTACTTTATAAATTAAATATCACATTTTCGGCGCTTACGCCACACAAAATTCCATTCAACAGCAAAATCTAAAGATATTTAAAAACAATATGTCTTTAGAATTTTCAATAGACAGTCTCGCACGCTGGAGATAAAAATGTTTTATCCCATACAGCGTTGCCACTGCTCGGTATGAAATTGTTGATTTTTTCAATCAAAAATTCATTAAAGTTTTACAGATAATAAAAGATACAATATAAAATGGTACAGATAATAAAAGAAATCCGAAATTCAAATTTCGAGCTTCTAGATGTCCATGTTCGGGTGGAGAGTTCGAGTTCAAATTTCGGTGGCTCTAATTAACGTATATTTTCGCAGTGCGAGAAACATACATGCATTCATGCAAATTCTTCATTATTTAATTTCTTTTAGTACAGGGCGATAATATTTGGTGCCAACAATTTCAAAAGTAATACAAAGCATTTAAAGGTTTGACGCAAAATCCCGTTTCGAAACTAATATCCCATTCGGACTAACGTCTCTTTTACGCTAAAAAGAAAAAGAAACCTAGAAGAAATGTAGTTAATATAAGTCTTGCATTTTGTGTGTTTGCTTATATTATTTAACATACACTCAATGATATTGAATTAATTAAAGTTTTAGTGATGTTCTATTTCATGGCCCTCCAAGCTGAATTAATCAAAGACCAAAGTTCATCAAAACTTGCTGGAAGGGGCCATAACAAACGATACGTCGTTTAACCATATTCCACAACTCTTCGATGAAGTTAAAAACAGGACATTGTTGTGATTTTTTTCCAAAGTATGTTTTTATACTTATATCATTCAGCTCGCAGATTAAATTAAAAAAAAAATTCAAAACTATTTTTATGTTTAGCAACATTTAAGCGAAATTAAGTGCTAATGACAAAATAAACACGATGTGTAGAAAAAACTAGGTTCCACCGAGATTTGAACTCGGATCGCTGGATTCAAAGTCCAGAGTGCTAACCATTACACCATGGAACCCACTTCCCATGTCTGGAATAGAACCCGGACCGTCTAGATGAGAGCCAGTAATCCTAACCACTAGACCACATGGGACGCCGGAAAATGGTATTCAATTTACTTAATCTATGCTACCTCTGAATAAACATGAATGAGAGAGTTTTAACTACGTAATATAACAGGATTTCCAGCTGTTTTAGAATACACATTTTCTGGGAGTTTTATACATGACACCCATATGTGCAAAATGTTGTTGTTACATATGGCTTTATTGGAATAATCAATCCATACATACATATGTGCAAAATGATTTAGGAAAAAAGGTTTAACTTATGGATAATTAAATACTTCATCATATGTTTCTTAATCCTAAGTATGTATTATGTTTCCTTTTTATTACTTTATATGCATTAAACCTTTTAATCCTCTCTTTGATTTGTGTACGTGTATTTCTCCTAATACGTGAAATGCCCTTCAGCGGCAGAGCGGTAAAGTCGCTTAACACTGGTAGTTCAGTTCGAATCCTGACAAACGGACTGACTGCATGGGCGTTTTCGTGGTTTTCCCCACGTGTAAATGGTATAAAACGTTTATATGAGGCAGTTTTCCTTAGAAAGTCCTCCACGAAAGCATCCCTCCCTTTAGGCAGATAGCCCTTGAGAGCTTTGACGTAAATAAATGAACCAAAATAGTGTGAAAATTCTTAGCCTTGAGATTTTAATAGAATTTAATTAGGAGAATTTAATTTATATTTAAGAAACATTTGTATTTAAGAAACATTTTAGCACTATTTCCGAATTTTATTTTTCTTATTATTACGAGACGGGAAAAAATAACACACTGAAAAGGAATAAATCTGCTTCTGTTATTTTTTAAGATATGAAACGTAAGCAATGAAAAACAACTTTAGATTTGCACTTGATATATTCTATTTCTCAGAAGAAATGTCCCCCATATATTCCCTTAAATTTACTTTTACTAGTTTTTATATCCTTAAACGAAGTAAAGAAAGTATTTTAATCGCAAAAAATTTCGGGTATCATATTTCAACGAAAATATACATTCTGACCACTCCAGAATCAATCTGGACGACTTTTCGCGTGAAACCTGTAAGTAGGGACAAAATACAGGACTCTTTTTAAAATGAATTAAAAATTAAAAAAAATAAACGGATCTAAAATGGATTTTTTTGCGTGACGTCTGTACGTACGTTTGTATATACCTCGTATAACTCAGAAACTATAAACGTTGAAATTTTGTACATCGGACTGCTATAAATAGGTTGAGTACCTTCATTTTTATTGCGATTGGCATTACCATGAGTGAAAAGTTCGGTTAAGGACTCTTAAGTCAGGTAAGGGAGGTGGATATATATGGCCTCCTTTTTTTGCAATCGTTGGTCATAGTCATATACTTCCAATTACAAAAGTGTTTTAAATAATGAAAATATATCGAAATCTAATTTTTAATGGGGTCTCTTGTTTTCTTAACGGAGGTTATTTGAAAAAAAATTATACTCACTATGAAAAATTAAAATTACAATAAAAACTAACAGGGATATTATTTTCAAAGTTTACAGTTTTTGACATCATTTGCAGCTTGCTTCCAGGGATCGGTTCCAGGGAATTTGAGGAAATAAGTTTA